GCTACTTGGAACTTGATTTTCAGATACGTAGATGCGCCATATGTCAATGGAGTGGGAGAGGAAGGGGTTAGTCATTTTTAGTTGTAGTTGGGATTGGGCTTAAATGTAACCCTTAACGCTTTAGTCCATTCCAATCCATCTTTTTCCTCAACGAGAGCACTGGGCCACCCTGCACCAGGATCAGAAAACTCCCACTCCCTGCACCTAAAACGAGCTAAGCTATGTTGTCACTGCCAAAACAGATTTGGTAAATGTAGGCACCTTACAATACCATCTCATAGGCAGATTTTGTACTTCTAAAGGTTTAAAGTATATCTAAAGCCAGTTTGGCATTTTGGACATAGTAGAGAATGGTTGAAGCTGAACCCCTGGGATAAGCTTAGTTGAATCTTGGTGAGCTTTGTGTATTTCTTCCAGATCTGTGTAGTAACTTGGAGCTTCCTGTAATAAAGACTGTTCACTGCTGCTCTTTCTCCTTGTGCAGTGTGACTGGTCTTGTCTCCGCCTCCTCCTGTAATAAAGACCGGTCACTACTGCTCTTTCTCCTTGTGCAGGGTGACTGGTCTTGTCCCCGCCCCCTGCTCCAGTGTTCTGCAGACAGCCTGTAGTGTGAGGAGCTGCTGGGTCCCTCCCACAGCTCTGCAACATGCAGCACAATGTCACAGCTACTTTTACAAGATATTATCTCTGTTTACAAAGGCATTCGGTGCGCACAAAGCAGATTTATTCCCTGTGTGGTTATTGATGAATACATTGAAATTAAGAATTTTGTGCCTGCAGTTTAGCTTTAAAACCTCAAGGTTTTTTGAGGGGGTTTGCCTTCACTTCCTGTCCTGTAGACACAACAGGAAGTGAGAGGAAATGCCCTTTTAGGCAGTTGTCACACAAACGGGTATTGGAAGACTTCCCCTCACTTTCTTTTGGTGGCTAAGCGTCATATTTTGAACAGCTGTCACCTGGAAAAAAAAAGATTCCCCATTAAAAAAAATTCCCCTCTATTCCTGTTCTGGTAAAAACTAAATGTTTGATTAAGGGCTACCATATACGTTATCATCTGACTATATAATCTTTGTACTTTAGACTTACCAAAACTATGTAATATGAGGACCTGCCTAATCTATCCAATCAATCTGCATCCAATCAGGCAGGGCATACTATATAGTTCTTGGCCGGCTTAAAGGGGATTGCAAAATCGGATTGCACTGTGTGTGGTGCGCTTTAGATGCACTTTAAAATGGCTGGCGGGTCCGCTTTAAAACTTGCATATAGCCACAAAAATATTCCCTACAAAGCTACAAAAACCAGAGAGAGAGAGAGCGGGCCTTATCACACCTGTGACCAGCCAAGCATGCTCTGGCAAAACCAATAACAAAAGCACTCAAGCGATCCCGCAGAAGCGATATGAAGCCCGGTTCTGGCGAGCAGGAGGGGATGTGAGGTGTCAGTCAGCACAGTGTTCTGGAAAGGGAGCGGTCCTCTTTCTTCAGAAGATCCGGGTGATCTCCATGCTGGGACACAATGATAAAACTGCCCATCATGCAAGATGGTGTTACAGTGCGTGCACAATAATAATGTGCTCTCCTCGCCGCTGACCCGTTCACTGCGTGTAATGAAAGGCGCAATCACGCACCACTGAGTGCCAGCAATGAGAAGATTTCACGTGGTTTTCCTTCTCTAAAAAAAAAACAAAAAACTAATTTCCTGTTTAATATATGCCTTGTCACAATGGGTGCGGAGCACTTGTGTCGGGTAGGAAGCCTGTGCGGCTTGTCCTGCTAAGTGGCAGCTGCTGTTACTGTATACTGTACCTGCTGATACCCAGATGGTCTCACAAGCAGTAGCCGCGGCGGACCGACAGGTGAAAAGTAAAGAGAGGGACACCAGGAGCTTTATTTAGTAATAGAGTGCAAGGTCGAACGCGGTGCAATAACACGGAGCAGCCATTTGGCTTTTAGTGGTCTTGTCAGACTAATAAAAAATTACTTCCTCATTGGCTGTCCTGGGTTACTAAGTATCATCACCCTCTGTGCTTGTTACTGTAGACCTAATGCTATCATAGGAGCTTAAAGTGTATTTCCACATTTGCAATCAAATTTGAGAACCCCCCCCCCACTGTATGTTTGTGTTCCCGGTCATACACCATGCCTAAAAAAAAAAAATTTTTAAACTATTTCTTCCCTAAGGAGCAGGCCTTTGAGCAGACTGCAAGCTGCTCTGAACAACTGAATGTGGAGGGTACACAGTGGGGACAGGTTTCGGTTCTACTCATTAACCCCTTGCCGTCCGCCCATCGTAAAATTACGGGCGGACGGCGGGTCCTTCCCGTCGGGTAGACGTACATGTACGTGATTTTTTTTTTTCTCCTAGCGGGCGTGCGAGAGTATAATCCCACCGGGAATGTGTACAGCCATTACCGGCTGTTTCATAAAAGCGTTCAGCTGGCTCTATTGCGTCGGGTGCGCCTACGTGCAAAAACAACGATTACGCCACACATGTTACATATCGCCGCGAATGCCGCAGTGAGAGCAATAATTCTAGGCCCATCAATCACTAATAACACTAAACTGAAGAGCGATAAAAGCTTTTAAAGCGTCGCCTATGGCAATGGTAGTTTTTTTGCGATTTTGTGGGCGCACACAATTTTAAAGCTTGACATGTTTGGTGTCTATTTACCCGAAGTGACCCTGTCTTTTATATTTCACCAAAAAGTTGGGTAATAATAAATGTTTTATAACATAACGTGGGAAAACTGTTTTTCTTCCAAAATTTCGGTCCTTTTTTCATTATATAGTAAAAAATTAGAATCCCAGTGGTGATTAAATAGAACCAAAAGAAAGCTCTATCTGTCCCCACAAAATGGTATAAAATTAATTTCAGTACAGGGCTGCACGACGGAATAAATGTCAGTCAAAGTACCGCAGTGTTGAATACTGAAAAATGGCCTGGATGGGAAGGGGGTGTAAACACACAGGTCATCAAGTGGTTAAAGCAGAACTCCAGGATGTGCAAAAGTTAACCCTTGCAGTGAGGCTACCCCCACACTGCAAGGGTTAACTGCTCGTTTTGATCTAAGGGCTGGTATTAAGGAAATATATCAATCCGATCCTTGGTCCTGCAACACACACCACTCACCTTTTACCCCCCTCCAGGCGGAGCCCTGCTAGGCGGGATCAAGGATCAAGTATGTATATCTTCTTTAATCCACCCCCTAGACCAAAAGGAACAGTTAACCCCTGCAGTGCTGGTGTAATTAAAAGGGAAAAAAGGCCCTCTGGTTCTCTCAGCCATAATGTGTAGTAGGTATAACATATGGCACACTATGGCAGACTTATCTGCCAAAGCAATCCCCTCCACTGCTGCGCACCTTCTCCCCGGGCTTCTTCTGGGTTCAACATCTTCAGCCTCTGCATTGGTCAACCAGCATAATGTACCTCCCGTGCATGTGTACCAGAGTTACTTAATCTTGCCACATGCCGGGTCTCTGCGCTGATCTGCGTGGCTCAGCATACAGAACAAAAAACTGCTGACAGGTAGAAAGAAATTTTATTGGCAGAAAAGACTTACACGGTCTCTTCTGCCATAGAAAGCCAGCCAATCCGCAATTTTTTTTTGGGTGGGGGGTTTACTTCCACTTTGACATACTGTACAATGTGCCACCCAAGCCTTGAGATCTTTATCCCTTTGTTAGGACAGTGTTCACATCTAGATTACAACGGATAATGAAATCACAGTACACACAGGGTTAATTATGGTAAACATTAGCTCCCCGGCCCCCTCCTTAAAGCAGATCTCCAGGATTCTCAAAAGTTAACTCTTGCAGTGGGGTTACCTCTGCACTGCAAGGGTTAACTGCTCCTTTTAGTCTAGGGAGCAGAAAAAAGAAGAAACACTCAACGATCCTCAATCCTGCTGTGGAATGTCCCTCGGGGTCCTCACATCTAATGCAAGTGAATGGATTTTGCATAGACGTGATGACGTCCGCAGGGCTTGGACCGCCAGAGCCTGGGGGTAGAAGAGGCTGAGGGGACGGGTCCAGCAGCCAGGCAGGATCGAGGGTCAGGTAAGTATATTTGCGTCCCCTAGACCAAGAGAAGCACTCATTCCTTGCAGTGCGGGGGTAGCCCCACTGCAAGGGTTAAGGTTTGAAAATCCCAGAACGATTATATAAAGTTGATGTCATCGTGTCATCCAGATTTGGCTTTGGCATCTGGCAAGCTCTATATAGTCAACAGTCTTCCAGCTAGCCCACTGTGTTATAGTAAGGTCTATAATATAGGTTGCATGGTGCTGGCTTCCAGGTTTTTTAAACTGGCTCATACTTCTGGGTGAGATTTCTCCAGACGTGCTCTACAGTATATATTTTCTCAGAAGGGGCTTTTTTTTGCGCTTCCCAATAAAACTTGAGTGTCACTTTAAAGAAAAAAAAAGGAAATTACATTTCACAACAACCCCACAGAAAAGACTGACTGGTAAAGCTGAACTCCAGGCAGATATAAAAGCACAAATGAATACAGGTTTATATTCATCATAATATATAATATATTATATTTTCATAATTATAATACATCATTAAATGCATTTTTTTTATGCGGCTAGTGTAAGTACCTACATTTTCCTCTTGCAATCCCATATGCAACAGCACTCAGAAAGGTATAGGGGGGGTTGAAAGAGTTGAAGTCAATCAGGTGTCCTGCACTTGAAATGTGCTCACAAGGAAGGTGCTGATAGGAGGTGAAAGCAGAGTGAGCAGAAACATAACCTAATCAGTCTTCTGATCCCTCTTCCTGTTGGGTCAGCAGTCTGGGGGTGGAGAGATGACCCCTATGTATCCCTTTAGTGTAACTGAAAAAGTGGTGTCATCTGCCGGGCTGTGCCACATAAGCAGAGCAATACAAATCCTTTGGCAGGTAGAACAGCTCCCCTATATGTTTTTCATCTGTGTTTTCAGCAGTTTGTCTGGAGTTCAGCTTAAAGCCACCCGGGTATTGCAATTAACTCACCATCTCTGCCCCACGGCCACAAGCGAATGGTAGAGAATCCACAGGGTTGTCATCAAGATCATGTTGGCGCATCCAGTTAAAATAATGAAAGCTGAAATCCCAAGGCCGGCCAGTGCAATGTTATCTAAGTGAGTATCCATGTGTGTCCAGTCTAGGAGCCAGAAGACTGTGGGTGCATAACTGAAGGCCTCCACGCCGACCTTACCTCCGAAGTACTCTTTGATGTTCTCTAGGTGGATTTTACATGGCAGCAGACCCTTCTCCCCAATTAGCTGCTTGTTCTGATGAAAAGCCACCAGGAATGCCACAACTGAAAGAGAGATGCAAGAATGTGAGAACAGGATAAGGATTCATTGTATATTGCACTGCACACAGAGTGTTAAAAACAAGGTCCAGGGGGAACTAGGGAGGTCTAGGGAACTAATTAGGGTCTCAATTGCCTTTAGGGTACACAGGACCTAACGTACTATGTGCTTAGATGAAGCCAATCCATCTTCTGTTCAGTAGGGATGGGGGAGCTTTAAAAGGTTAAATGTACCTTTAAAACATTTGAATGCATCCAGGGATATCATACAACTGAGCAGATATAACCTCTTCCTTTTCATTCCCTGTGCTGTGAAAGCCGTCATCACAAGCTCAGACCGATGTACACATTGCATTGTTTACCTTCAGCTTGTCTGCATTCTACAGTAACTGAAAACAAGGACTGAGAACAAAGAAGGCATCTACTGCTTACACAAGTCTGATTTAAAAATAAACTCCGGGCACGAGACCTTCCTTTTGAATATATTCCTCAATAGACACAAAGGCAATTAATTAACTTTGTGCGCACCAAAAGCCTTTGTAAACTCAGAAAGTTTGTAGTACTGTAAAAAAGTGGTGACATCATAACCTGTGCTGAGAGCAGAGCTGTGGAGGGGGGGGGGGGGGGGGGGGAGGGGC